TTTAATATCAATTATTAAACATAACCAATCTTTAAAATAACAAGAATGCCATCTTTATGTTTTATCAATACTTTACCCCAATGAACAAAATATCACATCTTTCCTACGTACTTTTTTCGTATACTGCTATCTTTCGAAGTATCATGTAAAAAATCTCAGCTTTGCTAGTTTTGTTCTTATTTTCTAGTGYTTTTGATATATCGTTCTTATGACTGTTTGATAACGGGATATTGCTTGTTTTTCAAATTCCCACTTTCAACAATACCAAGCAAACAAATGGACAGTCTGTTTTAATGAAGATTTTTAGATATTCAATTAAACGGATGGAAAATCCCCACCACAAAATTCCCTAAAAAATCCTATCACTTTTGCACGACCTATCTATATTTTACTCCAGTATCTTACTCTTCTTCTCATAAAAAACTATTCAAGTTTAGGGTTAAAAAATATGGATACTTTGAGAGTTGAGACTAATTTTCAAAACTAAAAATGAAAACTAGAAATATTCAATAAACTCATTGTTAGCAGTAATTTTGAGTCAAGTTTATTAAGACTAATTTTGTTGGTGGAAAATTATTGGTGAACAGCAAATATATATCTAGTGATGTGAATAATATCTGCAAGAACATGGTGTGGCGTCCGACTGGTTCTCATATTGRCATCACATTTGACATTTTCTACCGGTTTGTTTGCCTCGGTAAAATAAACTATTTTGTATTGAATTTGGAAAACTTACAAAATCCATGAGCTATTTACTTTTAATAGGAATGGGAAAAAAGWAATACAAATATGCCAACAATGTAATAAGCTCGAGGGTTTGTAACGGTAGGAATTAGAAAGAAATCTGACGTTATTTCCTTGTCAGAAGGAAGCCCGTTGGACTGGYAACGTGTCAATATACACATAACACAGGTAGCCCACAGGATGCTACGTGAATCAAAAACCGCTGTGTTTACAAATAGTGCGGGAATAATTTGATTCGATTTGAATACTTGGAAACTAAAATAAATGGAAAAACTGCAATAACAAACTTGAATGAATAATAATATTTCTCGTGTTCACAACTACTTTTATTCATTTTTTCATTCATTTCTTTTTCTTTTTTATAAAGGAATTTTGTTATAGCTGTTTTTTTTATATAGCTATTGAAGTTGTTTGAGTTCTTGTCTTTTTTTCTTTCCTGGTGTTTTTTGTATTTTGTTTGTTCTTATTTCTATTTTGTTGATATTTAATTCAAGTTGTAGACGTAAGTTTGTTGCAAGATGCAAGTACTATTGTCAGTGTTGGCGTACCACTTCCATTTATCTTCCATCCCCCCTTCCCCCCCTCCTCCCTCTATTTTTCATTTTCGTACATATATTGATATTATAAATTTCTTAGGGTACAAAAAGGTAAAAAAGAGTAAGGCTTATACCATTTGTTATTCATTTGTCACTTCAGTTTCTTTCTTTTTTTCCTTACTTTTTTTCTCTCGAGTATTTGCTTTCTTTGTTTTGTTGTTATTGCTTCTGCTCTTGTGTGTTTTCTTTATTGTCATTTCTTCCTTCTTGGTTATTGTCTCAGTTTTTGTTTATTTTTATCTTATTAATTATTTAGTTCATTGTAAAAATAAGTCTCGACTAAAGGTAAATTTAGACGACTTCAAGTGACGTATAAAAAGTCAGGGTAAAACCAAGGGTGACTTTAGTGGAATAAAACCGACTTTCGTTGATTAAAAGTGACTTGAAACAATTCAAATAATTAATGTACCCCAAAGTAAGTTGAAACAAGTCTATCAATGAAAAAGTCTCGTATTACCACGCCCATGTTGATTTAAAGTGATTTGCAACAATACATATAATTAATGTACCCCAAAGTAAGTTGAAACAAGTCTATCAATGAAAAAGTCTCGTATTACCACGCCCATATTCATTAAAAGTGATTTGAAACAATACATATAAATGATATACACCCAAAATAAGTTGAGACATATCTATCAATGAAAAAGCTTCGTATTACCATGCTCATGTTGATTAAAAGTGATTTGAAACAATTCATATAAATAATATACACCCAAAATAAGTTGAGACATATCTATCAATGAAAAAGTCTCGTATTACCACGCYCCTCATCGCACTTTAAATTTAATTAACTTAAACTTAGTTCAAGTCAACTTTTTGGGCAACTTTAAACAGCTTTTGGACCGGGATCAGACCTCCATCTATACATCATCGTATGCATTTCCACTTCATACATTCCTTACTATCCAATACCATAATGCATTGCGCTCACGCGTTAACTTTGTAAGCACTCCATAGCATTTGAAGTTTATAATAGGAAACGCTACAGTATGTGCAAGGCATACATACGTGAGATTATCATATTAGGATTTGAATCTGGATTAATTAATACTTAAACTTAAGAGAAAGTGCAGCCAAAGATATCACATATTATATCTATTTTAGCTTGGATGTAATGATGGGTTTCCATTTTAGACTTGCTTCTCTTGTGTATCGTTTCTTTGGTTAATTTTTGCGCATCCCATGACATATGATACAACTCAAACAAACTCTTATTCTCAAGAGAATGACCCATGACTTTTGTGAGATGTCAACCGTGAGCACATCCCATGGAATGCGCASAAGCATACCTGTTCACAGTCCCATATGACGCTTGGAGTACAAAGCCTAGGCACAATAAATAAATAAATACATATGATACTAAGCTGCTTACAATGGTTCAATCGACAGTGCTTGAACTCCTTTCATTTTGTATTGTCTTCCACGCTGGTCATATATTTTTATAAATATGAAAGAGATCTGAAGACCACAGGCTACCCGTCCATACCAACGAATCATGGATGCTGGGTTTAAATATGCATAGAAGTAGTGGCTGTCTTGCAGTTCGTCGAATATTGTTGCGMGTTGGTGCATACTATCATCGAATTGCATACGCACACGTCACCAGTGCATATATATCATGCTACACTATCAAGTGAAGTAGCAGCTATCTTGCATTGGTCGAGTAATGTTGCGCACTGAGCATACTACCATTGAATTGCATACGCACACGTCACAAGTGCATATATATCATGCTACACCATCAAGTGAAGTAGCAGCTATCTTGCATTGGTCGAGTAATGTTGCGCATTGTGGACACAGCACATAATTACATAAGCACGCCAGATGTACATATATATATATATATATATATATATCACGTCATAAAGTTACATTAACGTCAGTATTGTGGCAATATAATACGTCATAAATGTGAATACCACGTGGCTTGCGCACCGTGCATGCTTGATATTGCATCGGGTGAAAGTTGGCTGTACATGTACATCATACTCTGCCATCATAAGAATTAGCGCTTTTGTTGCATTACATGCACATAGTCACATCACATCACATCACCTCACATTACATTCACATCACATCACATCACATCACATCACATCACATCACATCACACTCACATCACACCACATTACATCACATCACACACATCACATCACATCATACCACATTACATCACATTCACTT